AGGGATTCGACATCATCGCAAAATGTTCTGATCTTAAAACTAGCTTCTCTCCTGCTGAAACCTCCCCAAGAGCACTGGGGACCCGTTGGTGGAGAAGACGCTTAACCAACTTTGGCGGGGCGGCGGCGAAGCTGACTTCCGCCCCCGCACCCCCGACCAGGGTTGCGAAATCGCACGCGCCCCAGCACATGCGGAGCGACGAGCAGCGCATCGCCGAGACTGGCCCCGAGCAGCTCCGCCACGTCGGAGAAGGAAACGGAAAAGCTGGAGCCCACGCCTCCCTCAATTGGCTGCGCGGCACAGAAAATTCAAACTCGCGCAGCTGGTCTGGCCAAATTTCTTCGGCGCGCCGGACCGCAGAGGAACCTGATGGGCACCGGCAGGGAACGTTGTCCGAACGATCTCCTGGTATTCGAAAACTCAGACTCGGAAATACCATACTTTTCACTCCCATAAGTGGCAGCCGCCCCACCAGAAAACTTCGTCGCGCGACGTCCCAGAACGGCCCTGGCTCTCACGGTGCGCTTGACCCGAGTCTTGAAACCCTTCTTCCGCTGCCGAACCTCGGGGGGCCATTTTGGGCCGTCTGCGAGGACGGCCCACAGTATCATCAACTCCAAGATTGACGGCGGTCGAAACTGAGCTAGCACTGAAGCCAAAGAACATGCGGAGCCGAATGCCCAGCTTCACCGACGAGAGCACGAGCGAGACATTGTCTTCCGAAACCGCACTGCGCAGTTCACTCCTGACAAGGTCAGCGACGGCGATTCCTTGATGCGGCCAGAAAAGCATCGCTCTGGACCGACCGCCGACAAGCAATAATCGCAGGCAGACACCAAAGGATCAAACTTCGGACGATGGACCACAAGGCCTGAGACTGGAATCAAGGAAACGCAGACGAACGCACTTGCCCTCGAGCAGCCAGCGATAACCCGAAGCCGAGCATAACGCGGGCCGTCGACCAGGCTGGACACCGAAACGAACCGAAGCCCAGGGCGCGCATTGACAGCAAGCCTGACACTAGGGAGACCGGTCGCACAAATTTACATTGATACCATAGCACACCCAGAGCAACGCCCTCACTCCTGACACCGAATTCCGAGCGAAACGCTTGGCGCCAGACAACGTCACTGGCACCACGGAAGGCGGGAGCTCCAAGATACGGTCTGGGGTGCGAGGCCTCCCTGGCACTGGCAGCAGGCCTGCGGGCGCGGCCCCAGACTCTGCACGCTGCACTAACAACCCAATGGGACGAGAGGCCCCCTGGAGGCTTCCCATACAGAACAGAACTATAGACTAAATCTGCCTCGCAAGCATGGAAGTCGACCCCACAAGGCTCAAGGAGATGGAGAGCATCACCAAATGGGGCCCCGAGAATGAACGCAGGCGCCTGCAGCGGAAGCTATTGATACCAACAGCGGAGAACGCGTTGTAAGATCTGGAAAATTCACTCATAGTATCAAGACGCACAAAGGCCCAAGGGATCCTGACACTCTACGGGGCCCCGTCGGGGGCCCCAGTGCGACTTTCCCAACTGGGGGCACGCCGGGCTACTTCAGCACGCAGGAGAGAGAGCGCGGGCCCGATAGCTCCTGGCCGTGAGAGGACAGGGCAGTAGTAGGGCGCCATGGTTGCTGCTCTCGCGCCCACGCGCGAGTTCGACGGTCAACCGCGTTAATGCCCTCAAGAAGCCGGACTCTTCAAAATTTCTGGGCGGCCAACCTGGCCCAGGAAGCAAACTGATCGAACGCCGAATCGACATCCAACTGCAACGCCTCGAAGTCCCCGCCCCAGTCCTCGAGCAAGTCCTGGATAGAAGTAGTATTCAAGAAGTTTGGGACCCGAAGTAACTCGCCAGAGAAGCCCTGAAACTCTGCCCGATTCTCTCTGGAGGATGGCTTGCCATGGCGCCCGCTAACATCGGCGCGGAGGACGGCGCAAAGACTGCTGGCAGACCGCACCAACGACCTGAAACCTCAACCCTGGCTGCAGAGCCTCCCTGCGCCTGCCGTCAGAATCCAAAACTCTGCTCCGCGTCAACTCCGGCGGTCGTCCTCTGAGACCTGGCAAGCTGACTGGCACGCGCCGAGGACGAGCCAACTCCTGCTCAACGGCATATGCAGACCCAGAAAACTGCGGGCAAAAATCACTGCGCCACCAGAGGCACCGCCCTCGGGGGTGGAGCTCGTGGCCGCGAAGAGCAGCTTTCCAGTCATTAGAAGATGCCCATGTGGACGCTTCGCCTCATGATTTACCATCCCGAAGCCTGCATTCTTGAACGAGGGCCACGTGCAAGGACGCTGACCCAAGCCAAGACTTGATGGAACACCAGGCTGTACAGTTGATCGCATCAACCGAGAATGCGGGTTTAGACATATCGGGATTGGTTGAGGCGCACAACAAGTTAGTCCCTGTGGTTGTGGGACCAGAGGCACCGTTAGAAACAAAATTGTCCCGATGATTGCTCGGCGCTAGCAGGGGGAGCTTCCTTGCTCGAGCCCACCGTGCCCGCGCGCACGGAGGTTGACCGACGCGGTGGCTAAAGCGGGCCCTGACCTTGCCAGATTTGAATCAACTCCGCTCGCGGCGTCCTTAGGCTGGGGGCGAGCTTCCAGCCACGCCTCCGCCTGCTCCTGAAGAGGCTGGTGCACCAGCCGCGGGCTCAGAGCCGCCTCCAGCACCTGGTGGCCCAGCTGCTGCCGCACCTGCTGGACATCCTGTTGCACCGCCGGCTGGCTCCTAAAATTTCGGCGTTTCCTCTGTAGGCGTTGAAGGTGTTCTGCCTGTTGCTGTTTGACGCTCTCGGTGTTCTTGGCCGCGTCACCGAGGAGAGACTGGGCCATGCACCTGAGTCCCGAACGAAGCTCTGCTGCACGCTTGTCGATCTGCTGCAAGGACACTGACAGGCAGCTCGCAGTCGCCCAGGCTTAGGTAGAGATAAGAAAAGTCGAACGCGAGGACATCCGACCCCCACTAAGGAGGTCGCGCTGGCGAAGTACTGGCGAAGTGGCTTCGACAGGCGGTTGCGGGCAAGCCTCGGCTGCGAGCTTGCCCATCGGCGCTGCATGGTCGGCGCCTTTCTGATTGAGCTCTTCTCGGAGAGGAATGCACTCTGCTCGCTTTGTTTCCACGTCCAGCTGCCATATGTCGAGCGCTTCCATATGTTTCCCGAGCCTGGCCTCGAGGGGACGAACAGCTTAAGCTTATTCGAGCTGCTGCTGCAAAGGGACGGAGCGAACTTGAGCCTGCTTAGCGGCGGTGAGCTTCGCCTCGTACTGCTGGGTCAGTGATGAATCCCCGAGCCTGTTGGCCAAGGCAACCGCATGCTCCAAGTCAGACCAGACGCCCATGACGGGACCGACAGGGCCAGGAGCAAGAGGAAGGCGAGGCCATTCCTCATGGCAAAGGAAGAAAGCACCTATGGGAGACTGGTCGGGAAGATGCCCAGAAGGAGGAGTAAAGCAGCCCCTCGTAGTGCCGCAATTCTTGCGAAACCAAATGTAAAGCGGGTTCTCGGCGCACTTGCACGCGAGACGGTGCGCCGCTGCAGCCCACACCAGTGGAGCGCCATGGCCACGATGAAGGGGGCGAGCGCCAGGCAGGTCCCCAGGAGTCTTTGGCCGCGGCAGCCGCGCAGCCCCCGACTCACGAGTCCATGGTTGGGGACCACCCATTGCTGAAGGGTGGAGATGGTTCAAGAAAGTGCTGCTGGCTGCCAATCTGGTTCGCCAGCGCCTGTTGCTCCCAAGAAGTACGTTGGCAACTCGGGCCCCCCCTGCCCCGAGAGGAACGGCTTAAGCCAAAATGGCAGCGGAGGAGGAGGAGGAGGAGGAGGAGGAGGAGACCAGCGTACCCAGAGGTCAGCTCCCCGCGCCTAGCACGGCGCCTGAGGCAGCAGGGGCACGCCTCCTGTCGAAGCTGTTGTAGCTGAGGCCGCCGAAGCTGCAGCACTCGATGAACGGCGGATAGCCGTCGAATTTATATCATTCTCATTCAGAGGATGTTGAGAGCGGGAGGGAGCGGGAACGCAAGCGAGGGTGGCGCGATTCGATGGCGGCAGGGCAGGATTCAAGCGGGGCGCGCAGGCGCCAACGAAGGGCGGGACAGGCGACGAACGCAAAGCGAGGAGGGGAGCAGGGGAGGAGCACGCAGCAGCACCAGCAGCTCTCAGACGGAGCGAAGGACCGAGAGAGGGAGGAGGCGGCACAGAGAAAAGCACAGGCGTGTGGGGAGACCAGGTCAGGGGGGGAGCAGAGGAAGACAGAGGGGCGGTCGAAAAGATACTGCGACGGGCAGGCCTGAACGCTTGGGGAGAGGAGCACTGAGCGACGGGGGAGAGAAAAGCAGGCGCCATGGTGTGGGCTTGTCCAGGCGAGTGCTCAGAGCGGGAAGGGGTCCACGACGCGGATCGCGAGGAGGGAGGAGATAGTCTCTGAGAACTCGGCGTCGCCGAAGAAGCACGACCCGTGGAACCACAGGAGGAAGGAGCCGCCATTCGAGAAGCACATGGGGTAATCGGCGTCGACGGGATGGCCATCAGGGCACGAGGGGAGCGAGAAGAAATCTCAAGCAATGTCATCGGAGAACATGGAGCCAGCCCCGACAAGGGCATTGGAGCACAGGGCGCCGAAGGAGCAGCAGCACGTACAGGAGTCGTCGCCAGAATACATCCCAGACGAGAGCGTCGCACGACCAGAGACGGCACAAATCCAGAGACCTTCCCCTCGCGATTTACTCTAGCCTGCGGCAAAGGGTTCGAGGAGCACCCCTGCGCAGGACTTTGCGTTCTAATTGCCGACCACCAGTGAGACCGCTCCTCGCAATTCACTCCAGATGCCTGAAACGACGGGCTCGAGGAGCACCCGCCGCCAGGACTTAGCGTTCTAACCTCCCTTGTCGCGACTCCAGGTGACAGCTGTAGCAACTCCTCGCAATTTACTCTAGATGCCTGGACACCTGGGTTCGAGGAGCACCCATTGCCAGGACTTGGCGTTCTGACATTATCTGCACTCCACCTCCGCGGTGACGAAGGTTCGAGGCCGTCGAGGTCGTCGATGTGTCCGACTCTGGAGGGCGTCGCAATCAGAGTCGTTGGGGTGCCAGGTATGGAGGGAGTAGAGAGACTGCCGTCATCGTTGTGGACCGTGGGAACAAGCCGCGGGGTGAGACACGGTGAATGACCATCATTCCTGCCCATGCCAGGTCCAGAGCACCATTCTTCATCAGTGTCGTCGCGGAGCTCGCTGTCCGAGGTCTGGTTCAACGAGGTGTGTCCATGACTACCAGCGGCCACTCCATCACCGTCATTGGGATCTCCCGGTTGATCGGGATGCAGCCCTTCATCCTCGACGTCGCTAGATGAGGTCGAAGAGGTCGTCGTGGGTTGCGGTAGGCGGCGGAGGATCAGTGCCTCAGGAGGCTGCCATTTCTTTTGCAGTTGGGCATCAGGCTTGGCCAACCTTAGGTTTCTGACTGCAGCGCGCGCACTAGAACGAAGGTCATTAGCGGTGACGTACAAACGGAAGCGCATATTGTGGTAAATGTTGAAGGTCGCCGCCAAGGTTTCAACGTGCATGACGCCAGGGAGCCGAAGCCCCAGGCGGTCAGGAAGGAGCGGATGCATCTCATATCCCAGTGCTTGGTATACAGCTGTCCACAACGGACGGCATCGCATGTAATGGCACTGTCGATCGGCATACGCACGGCAACCAAAGATACACGAGCGGAGGCCTGCAGCATACTTTATGCGCGAAGAGGTAAGCCATCCAGAGCAGTAAGTTTTGATGACAGGCATGGCCCAGCTCATGGGAACCAGCGAGAGGAGTCCACCAATCTCTGTCCACGCCACACGATCAAGAAACGGCTCCCATTCATGTACATCTTTCAGAAGACGCCGCTGCACCAACGAAGCAAGTGGGAAGGGCGTCACTAGCATCTCCCGAAGAGCGCGTGTGGCTGCACGTTGGGGCTTGGGCTTCCTGTCGGTGACCTGGAGCTCCTGGGCGATAGCTCGCACGCACCTGTCAGTGATCTCGGCAGGGTAAGCCGCCTCTCTGCCTGGCTGGAGAACCGATGCATATCCCAACAAGAACGACGGGGATTGCCAGTGCGTGCCAACATGGTCGAGTGCATCTTCACGTGCTCGAATCGCCGCCAGTGGCGCATCATCGTATCGGCCCTCCATGAGTGAGTATCTCCATTCAGACTCAAGTTGTCGGAAGCGATCAAGAATGGTAGTGTGGTTAGAGAACGTGACTAAGGCAGCTCGAGCATAGGCTGCAGCGCATGAGTGAAGCAGCAGGGGGACATGAGGGCCACCCCATTCGCCAAGTTGGGCCCAGCCAGCCGTAGTGAGCATACCAAGGGGGGCTCTGAAAACCTGCGCGAGAATCCCCAGTTCCAGAGCAGCGTGTCGTTGAGGGAGCGGAACAAATTGGGCCACATAGGAGACCACTGAGAACACCCTGGACGAGTACCGTACACCGTTGATACTAGCGGGGGCAGCCCCAGACCCAAGCAGACGGGCCCGTAATTTGAGCTTCTGCAGCGGTGCGAGCCACTGCATGTCAACTGTGACGGCGGGGCCCAGCAGGAGGCCCAAGTAGAGGACGTGGGAGGCCACTTCGAAGGCGCGCCAGGCAGGGACGAGGCGCTCCACGAGAGACATGGTGTGGAGCTGGAGGGACTCGGTGAACTCCCCCTTGAGCGGGACGATTTTGCACTTCAGGGGCTTAAGCTTCAGCCCTGTGAGACACTCCGTGACCACCATCACATCATACAGCACATTGAGATGCCTTGCTTCGTACACCACCGCTCCTATATCATCAGCACACGCTCGAGCAATACCATATCCAGGAGTCTCCAGAGTATCCTCCAGCGCACAGAGAAAGGGGGCCGTGCCGAGGGCGTAGAGGCTCCCTGAGAGCCCACATCCTTGAATAATCCCAGACCGTAGCCAGTATATAGGGATAAGCTGGCCAGCATGGGCCACAACTCCTTGGATCGCTAGGTACAGCCACGAGAGGAACCACCTGAGGGGCCCAGGAAGCCCGAGCTTATTCATCAACATCAGCAGATACTCTTGGGAGAGACTGGGGAACGCCTGGCCATAATCAAACGAAATCAGAAGGGGGTCGCACAGGTCGGAGCAGGGGTGAGCAGCGGCAAGCCTTCCTATGCCGTCGAGTTCGATCACATTGTCTACGAAATTACGGCCGACCACAAACCCCCTTTGCGAGCAGGGAACCACCTCCTCCACCACTTTACGGAGCGAGCGGTTGACGACAGAGGTCATGATTTTCAGGTCGGTGTTTCGCAGCCCGAGCACTCGAATTTTGTCAGCTGACCGTGTACAGCCTCCAGAGGCCTCGTCCTCCTCCTCAGAACCTTTGGGCAAGAAGGCCTGCAACGTGACACTCGCGGCATCGAAGAGGGTCCCCCCGCCGAGCACCCAGTCGAGGGTGTTGCACAAGACGTCGACGCAGCAGTCAGAAGCATTCCAGGCGGCATAGGGGATGCCGTCCACACCTGGGGCAGAGTGCCGTGCACCTCGCACAGCTCGACGGATAGCAGCTTTAGTGGGAGGTGGGACTTCGCATAGGATGGGGGCTTTCAGGTGATCCTGGAGGTAGGCCTCTATGCGGGGGCCATGGACAGAGCCTCGGGAGAATACAGGACGCCAGTAGGTACTCAAAGCTTGAAACCGATCTTCAGGCAAGTGCGACAGGACGGGCCCGGACCGAACCGTCTGCAGGATGAGTCGGCGAGAGAAAGGGGCCCAGATGGCCGCCTTCCGTTCCAATAGCTGCTGACGACGGCAGGCGGAGAGGGGACGGTGAGAGGCAGAGAGACCAGCGGCATGATCGGCATTGGCTTGCAATTCTTTTTCCAGAAGCCGCATGTGGACCCCATCCGACCACGAATGAAATGATTCAGCATGTCGAAGACGAACTTGTGAGCCTTCAATTTGCAGTGAGTCTGATGCCCACTGTGATGTCGAAATAAGTCGCCGAGCCAGTGGGACGTCCTGTCGCCAGACGGCTCGGGCGCAGCTGCGGGCCACGATGATCGCCGTCTCATCACTCTCCGCCTTCAGCGTGAAGAGCATGTCGCGCACCTCCCGCGCAGCCTCTTTGAGCATCTCTTTGAAATGCTCCTGATAAATAGAGCCAGCATGTGCAGTAATAGCGTTCTGACCATCAGTAACCATCCCCTCGATACGCTTCTTGAAGAGCGGGTCATGGAAGATGTGCCGCGGAATAGCTTGTTCTCCCCGAGGCTTGTGATGTCGCTGGCGCAACGTTGTCACCAGCGCGGCATGATCAGATATTTGAGCACGGGACAACGCCTCTGGCTCACCGACCGTGGTGGATTCAGCATGTACCTGGCATAGCATCCATCCTGGTAGCGAACAAAAGAACCTGTCGATGCAACTGACAGAGTTGGTATGCTTCGTATAGTGAGTAGCCGCCGACGATGAAACTTCAAGGAGCGCCCCAAGAGAGCGCAGCCAACGGGCAGCTTGGGCACGATGATTCCGAGGATCAGAAGCACGCGCAGGTAGCGGGCGATGGAGCACGAGGGCTTCGTCGGGGCCAAAATTGAGGTCGCCTTGCACAATGACCAGGTGGTGGGTAGGGTCAGACGCCGCCGCGACTCGATACCTGTCGATCTGCTCACAGACCATGTCCACCTGGGTGCTTGTGAGGCCGTGGTTGTGTATATTGAAATGCGTCAACTGAAAGCCACGTCTATGCACATCAACTTGCAGGACCCTTCCTGGGATGAGCGGCGTGGCACAGCTAGACGATGCTCCGTCAAGAGCGAGTCGAGGAAGAATGGTAGCGACACCTCCTGCACCCGATCCCCCTTGATCGACTGCACAAAATGAGGCGTGGACTACAGCATGGGCATGGGCTTGGAGCACGAACTGCTCCAGTTGGACACGATCGGCATGAACTTCCTGCATCGCCAGCAACGTGGACTGCAGGTGGATCTGCTGTAGATATCGTAACTTGGGGATAGCCTGCGCCCCTTGGTACTGCAGGAGCGCCCTCGCGTTCCAGGTAGCACATCTCAGAGCGGAGCCTCCATCTCTGGATTGAGGAAGGGTGAACATCTGCATCATCTCGTTAAAGGCACCACTGCGGCGGCGGTGGAAGTGCAATGGTGGACTGGACCAGCTCACGAACCTCGTGCTTGGCGATGCCGACTTCACTAAGGCCCTCGTCGTTGTAGAGGATGTCGAAGGGCTGGTCATCAGGCTGGGCGGAGAGCTTGAGGATGTGCGTCCACCCGCAGCGGAGGACCCCACGCTCTCTGTCCACAACCCATCGTCCGTCGAATTTGCCAGCCATGGCCGTGCGAAGCTTCCTGAGCGCCATTTCCGTTTTAATTTGTTTGGGATTTTTGTCTGGTCCGAGATGGAGACGAGCGGGAGTAGAGCCTGACACATCGGCCTCGAAGATACGCCAGTCATTGTTCTGCCTGAGATTGGATAAGACCTTGTTGACATACTTGGACGCGAGCCCCACACTGCCATTGAATGAGACGAGGTACCTTCTGCTTGGCATCGGGCCGGTGGACTTGATAGTGTATGATGAAGCGTCCAAGCCCAACTCAGCCAAGAATGGGGAAAGAGAGGCACGCACGGACTCGATCCCCACCATCTTCGTGGCCATGGCGACGACAATAGAGGGGTCTTCCACGCGATCGAAGGAGGGCGGGGCTGTAGGTGCCTTCTCCGTGCGCTTGGCGACCATGAGTTCGCCGCGGAGCTCTTCCATCTGCTTACGTAAGTTGGCAATGTCTGCGGTGTGCTTCTCAACATCGATCGATAGCGTGTTGACATGGGACCCAAGGGAGTCGATCTTGGACTGCAAGCCGCGGTGAATGGAGTCGATGTGGGGGCGAACAGTGGCCATGATCTGCTGGTCGACCTCTTTCGGCTGGGCCGTGATCTGGACGCGCAGGGACTCCAGTGTGTCGAGAATAGATTTGTTGGAAGATTGCACAGTCGCGCCGACGGTAGATCCAACCAGAGATTCCAATTCGGACCGCAGCTCTCCGAATTGTTCAGCAACTGCGTTGGCTGCGACGTGCCTGATATAGTCATCATCATATTGAGGCTGCTGTTGTGGAGGCTGGGAAGGGGCACGATGGGCACCAGCAGGAGAGGAGCCAGGAGTACACTGAGAATCGCCACGACCACCGAAGAGAGCCGAGCCGACCGCCCCAGCTGCGCGGGCAGCAATGCCCGCGACCCCCTTGCCACTGGCGTTGCCGCCTTTGCCGTCCTCGGTGCGCGGGTACTTGGGTTCAGGCGAGCCCCGATCACGGCGGCCATCAGCACGATCATCATCTGGAAAGGTGGGCATGTCATCGAGCTCCTGGGCAACCTGGGCGAGCGCTGCAGCGTCGGGAAGCCCCATGGCGACTGAGACGCTCGACAGCACAGGAACGGGAAACGCCTCCGTTTACCCGTGGGGGCGAGCGTCGGAGCGAGGAACAAACACTGCCAGACCGCCAAGGGTCTTGTCAGCCGCGGACTAGCGGTATCCACTTGTTCCCCTGTGGAACC